TAAGATGTTATTTTTATTTGAACATAGGTATTGTGTCGGGAAAAAGTGGAGTTTGGGGGTCGGCCTGGTCTCTATTTCAATTAATCCCATATGTTATGTTGTTCACTTTACGCGGGCCTCCGTGGGTTCAATTGACCGCGTAAAGTGAGGGTTCACTTTATATCGTAGTCGAACTCCTTATATACATAAAAAATCACTTAATTTAAGAGAAAGGAAGAAATAGACTGACAAAATACAGTAAATTAAAGTAAAAGATTAGTTATAAGGGAAATAAAATATATACAGTAGTACCCCGATTTACGCGGTCAATTGAACCCACAGGGTACCGCGGAAAGTGAAAACCGCGTAAAGTGAACAACAGAACATATGGGATTAATTCCAATAGAGACTGGCCCGACCCCCAAATTCCACTTTTTCCGACACAATACCTATGTTGTAGTAAAAATAACATCTAAATTTTATGATGGTATGCTCACACAATTAATATTTAAGAGAAATACAGTCGCCAGGTTAATGTCCATTCAAATAATGGACTCAAATCCCCCCCCCTCTTCCCAGCTCACTAGCTCCTACCTCTCTGAGAAATGTTTGGGTGAAAACTCTAGATTTTAACGTACAGTTGTACCCCACTTAACGCGGTCAATTGAACCCAGAGGGTCCCGCGTTAAGTGAAATCCGCGTTAAGTGAACAACAGAATATATGGGATTAATTCCAATAGAAACCGGCCCGACCCCCAAACTCCACTTTTTGAAGGCACATAACTATGTTGTAGTAAAAATAACATCTTAATTTTATGATGGTACATGCACACAATTAATACTTAAGAGAAATAGAGAAATACAGTCGCCAAGTTAATGTCCATTCAAATAATGGACTCAACTCCCTCCCCCTCTCACACTACACAGCCGGCTAACAGATGGTCGGTCGGTCCCTCCCTCCCCCCCCCACCCCCCACCAACCGTCCCAAGGAGATGTGTGGGATAACCTCAAACTAAAGTTAGGAAAATATAATTGACATTGCTGGATTCCTTGTAAGACCAGGAATATTTTGAATATAAATGTCATATATTTTGCACAAAAGATAACATAGTTACCTAGAGAAAAAATTTTATCTAAAAATTGTAAGTTTAAAGCAAAATATATGATGTTTATATTCAAAATGATCACCAAATTATAAGAATTCCAGCAATGTAAATTATATTCTGACCGGGTAATTTGTATGAATTTTATGAGCTAAAACAAATATCTTCAGTTAATAAAAAAAAAATAATCTTCACGACACTATCTGTCAATCAAAGTACCCCACCTTGCCTCCCCCCCTCTTCCAACCGCGCGGTCAGTCCCAACCCTCCCCCCCACCCCCCACCAATCCTCCCTTCCAGAGTTTTTAATATTTAGTATTAAATAATACCTCAGATTAAAGTTAGGATAATATAATTGACATTGCTGGATTCCTTGTAAGACCAGGAATATTTTGAATATAAATGTCATATATTTTGCACAAAAGATACCATAGTTACCTAGAGAAAAATTTTTATTTAAAAATTGTAAGTTTAAAGCAAAATCTATGATGTTTATATTCAAAATGATCACCAAATTATAAGAATTCCAGCAATGTAAATTATATTCTGACCGGGTAATTTGTATGAATTTTATGAGCTAAAACAAATATCTTCAGTTAATAAAAAAAAATAATAATTCTTCACAGGGTAACAGATGGTCGGTCGGTCCCTCCCTCCCCCCACCCCCCACCAACCGTCCCAAGGAGATGTGTGGGATAACCACTAAATTTTAATAAATAATACCTCAAACTAAAGTTAGGATAATATAATTGACATTGCTGGATTCCTTGTAAGACCAGGAATATTTTGAATATAAATGTCATATATTTTGCACAAAAGATACCATAGTTACCTAGAGAAAAATTTTTATCTAAAAATTGTAAGTTTAAAGCAAAATATATGATGTTTATATTCAAAATGATCACCAAATTATAAGAATTCCAGCAATGTAAATTATATTCTGGCCTGGTAATTTGTATGAATTTTATGAGCTAAAACAGGCAGTCAGGCAGGGTGGCGGGTGGGGCAAATCTAAAAATAGCGTCTCGGACACTCACCGCGTATATGTGGATTTTGTGGAAAAAATCCGCGTTAAGTGAAAGTTCAGCTTTGGCAAGGCACCGCGTATATGCGAAAACGCGTTAAGTGAAACCGCGTTAGGCGGGGTAAAACTGTATAGTAGTAAATAATACCTCAGACTAAAGTGAGGATAATATAATTGACATTTCTGGATTCCTTGCAGGTCAGGGAATATTTTGAATGTAAACTTCATATATTTTGCACAAACGATAAAATATTTGCTTTGTGTAATCCAAATTACAGTCGACCCTCGTTAATTCGGACTAATAGGGGGGGAAGGGTGTCTGTTTTAGCCGATTGTCCGAATTAACCGATTTAGGGGTTAATATTGCATTATATTTCAAAGTCATTGTTTTCGTCACGATTTTATCCCACTTTTCACTGTAATACGTACGTAATTTCAGCAAAAATATTACATTTCCGTGAATGCATTATATCGAGCACAGTATGAATAGAATACCATTGTAATATAACAATATTTTAACCAAAAACTATTAAAAAAACGAATAAGATCTCAAGAACATCTGAAGCTTAGGTAAAGTCTTTTGTTTCCGTCATGTATTTTATCCTATTTTACATTGAAATACATCACGTTTCAGCAAAACTACTATTTATTTCCGAGAATATATTCATTCAGGCGCAGTTTAGGTAAAATATACGTGTGATGTAACAGTTTTTTAACTGAAAACGATTCGAAAAACACGTACCCTCTAGCCCTGTTCAAGGAGAGGACTGAGAGAAGCTGTTTGGTGCCGCAGACGATGACAAGGAAAATGATTTGGATGAATTTTAATGAAAATATTCAGAAATATGGTATCGTAGTATTTATTCAAGTCAATTAGGATAGAATATTATTGTAATACAACAGTTTTTTAACTGAAACCCAATCGAAAAGCGATTACGGTAACATCTTTTGAACGAAAGAAAGCGAAAGTCATTGTTTTCGTCACGATTTTATCCCACTTTCCACTGTAATACGTACGTCATTTCAGCAAAAATATTACATTTCCGTGAATGCATTATATCAAGCACAGTATGAATAGAATACCATTGTAATATAACAATATTTTAACAAAAACTATTAAAAAAAATGAGTAACTTCTCTAGAACATCGGAAGGTTAGGTAAAGTCTTTTGTTTTCGTCATGTATTTTATCCTATTTTACATTAAAATACATCACGTTTCAGCAAAACTACTATTTATTTCCGAGAATATATTCATTCAGGCACAGTTAAGGTAAAATATACATGTGATGTAACAGTTTTTTAACTGAAAACGATTCGAAAAACACGTGTACCGTGTAGCTGATACTCAACAGCTGGTGGTGCGTCATGTGTCGTTGTAAACAATAGGAGGTTGAAGTACATTACCGGGTATTATATTAAGTGTGAAATATCAAAAAGGTTTTTATTACCGGTATTTTTGTAGATCAATGAGAACTGTGATACCGTATATGATATGATAAGTTAGCCTGTGCTAAGAACTTCAACATAGACTACTGAAAACACGTTGTAAGGTAATTTAGCCTATTGTAAGTTGGTGAGCTTCATTTGCTGAAGGAACTGCACAACTTTTCATTACTAATTGGTACAAATTTTACGTTTCCATTGTTTACTGGCAGTAAATGGTAAATATTTTTCTTGTCTGAAGCTAAAAGTTGCATCCCCCCCCCACACTAGTGGTGGAGATGTTACATTTGACCAAAAAGATGCTGGTGTTTTATTCCAGCAGTGGGTGGACCAGCATTTTAGCTTAAGGTCCGCGTAGGTAATATTCCTACAAATCTTAAAAAAAAAAAAAAAAAAGTTCAGATTTTGTCCAAATTATCCGAAATCCGGATTAAAGGGGTCCGAATTAACGAGGGTCGACTGTATTACATTAGATCTAAAATTTGTATGCCTAATGCAAAATCCATGATGTTTATATTCATATTGTAAGAATTCCAGCAATGTAAATTATATTCTGGCCGGGTAATTTGTATGAATTTTATGAGCTAAATAAAAAAATTATGCTTCACCCGCGTATATGAGTAGATGCACCGCGGAAAGTGAAAGTTCATTTCTGGGAAGGTACCGCGTAAATGAGAAATCGCGGAAAGTGAAACCGTGTAAAGCGGGGTAATACTGTATTAAGTATTGTAAATTTAAAGTTTAACTTTATTCGTATCGACAGATGTCCATAAGTCGGACGTACATAAGCCGGGAACTGCCTGTATAGTATGTTCTGCCACAAAATAATGAAGCTCTGTCACAGGGTGCTTAGTGGTGGTAGAACATGCTAATCTTTTTTCTCATCTCGACTGATAAATGGAATTTCACACATCAGTCATTGGCCACACATGGCTGACTCTGGTTTTTTAACGGAGAGGGCGCCCCCTCCCCAATGTGATAACTGCCTGGTCCCATTGACTGTTCGATTCCTCTTGGTGGAATGCCCCAGTCTCAGAGATCTTTGTAGTAAGCACCTCACCCAATGCTGTAGGGGGGAGTGGGTAGTCTGGGAGGGGTGTTCCTCTCCTTCGTGGAGGAGACCGGCCTTCTAAACAAGCTTCAAGTCTTATTTATTTACATTAAAAATTTTATTTTTTATTTTTTTTTACAAATGTTTATGTTATTTGTTACTTATGTTTTTTACTTTGCATTATTTGAATTTAGTGTTTTAAGCCTTTATTTTAATTTGGCGACAGATGACCTAAGCTGTTGTATCGCCAGGGATGTAATTAACACAATCAATCAATTCATCAATTCATCAATCAATCACACATCAGTCCTACATATCTGTCAAACTTCTTTGAATAATTAAGAAGAAAACTTAATTTTGAGGTCAACAGTGCATGATGTGTTCTGTGTATTTTTCAGATGTGGAAGTGTAAATTGTGAAGATGGATTTTGTGTAGTTCCTGGTGCTGATAATTGTATCGGTGTGAAGGAAATGGAACAAGGTTTCTTGGCAATGCCGGGTGTTCATCCTGGACTTGTTCCTTCAGGCTGGGTGACTAACCACTACCGATGGATTGTGTGGAAACTTGCAGCCCAAGAAAGACGTTTGCTTAATTGGTGAGAAGAGAACATTTTTGTTGCCTAATGAAGAATCCAAGACTTGAATAAGATAGCTGGGTTTAATTTTGGATCCTTTGGTTTTGGGTTTCCTTATTTGGAATTTTCAGATTATATATGCTTATAGGTAAATAGTGTATAAATATGCTATTGTAGGTGGTTCAGCAAGCTATGCTCCTCTCATTAGTCTTCAAGAGTCATATGGGCATCTGGTAGGATGTTTATTTACAGATACAGCCGCTAGAACCCCAATATAACTCATGAGTGGGATTGTGAATTGTCGTGCAATATATATATTTTTTATATCATTCTATGTATTTCAATGGAAAATATATAGTACGGTACCACGGACCCAAAATTCATTGACACCCCTTTTCCTCACTTCATCTCTTAATTCTATTATTTCAGAACACTCTTTAACAAATTAAACTCACCATGACTGTTGTTGTTCAACTTAGTTACTGATGGCACAATAGAACTTGGGGTGTCATGAATTGTACTTGAACTATGTAGATGCTGCTGGCCAGTTTTTGTCAGCTGATCGACTGTATATTTGATACTAAACCTATAAAACACATTTAGTGAAACACACTGAAAATATTTAATGCTTCTCAAAGACATGAAACACTGAAAACATATTTAATGGTCTTATAGTGAAGGTCTGACTGGCTAGAGAGCTGACCAGTGGTTGTAAGTTATGGAGAGGAATAACAAATTTCCACATGATATCATGACTGAATTATCACTGAGTAATGTGTATCACGAGTAGCTGTTGGCAGAGCAAAGATTTAGAGGGCTGTGGCACCATTCAGTGGCATGTGCAGGAAACTTAAGTTTGTCTTCAGCTGATCACTATGAAGATACTGCATTGTATTGTACTCAGTTGGGTATGGGACCCCCAGAACATTCTCTCTTCAATTTTTTATTCAGAACTTTTATTTTTTTTACTCAGAACTTCTTGTTTTTCTATTTTTAATTTATTTTCACTCATATTCTTGTGCCCCCTAGGGCCCGTTGTGGGTCTATCACCTGTGCCTGGGTGGGCTATTCCCCATAAAAAAATAATAATAATAATAATGACAGGATATGATATATGAACACAGAAACTTAAAATAGTGAACAAGTATACAGTACAATACAAATGTTGGCATGTACAGAAGAGGCAAGGAAGTGTTAGTTTGAATATGATAATTGATGTGTTAACAAGATGTGGGTGCCACTACAGCTCTACTCTTAATTATTACACATGATTTCTTACAAATTCTTATATTCTTGTTATTTTTTTGGTTTCATTAAAAACAATCTCAAAAAGATTCATTCAAAGCAAATCTCGATGTCCAACACTAGTTCTGAAATTTTTTTATAGTACAGTATTTGTACATAAAATAGGTATTTAATGTTTTGAAAATGACTTCAGTTGGGTCTTCATTTACACGGTCAATTGAACCCGCGGAGTACCGCATAAAACGAGAAACACGTAAATGAAATAACAGAACATATGGGATTAATTGAAATAGAGACTGGGCCGACCCCCGAACTCCACTTTTTCCGACACAATACGTACGTTGTAGTAAAAATAACATCTTAATTTTATGATGGTATGCACACACAATTAATAATTAAGAGAAATATCAATAATATTAGGTTTTTTAACACTTACGTTAGTAGAAAAGATGGCTGGGCACACGGGGATGGGAGGTTGGTTCCGAGGCAGAGGGCAGATTATTGGCCCTCACCTGTATCACTTGTATCAATTGTATCATTATCCACCACAGAGGCTTGCAGGGCCTCTTTGTCAAACCCCTTCAAAGTTCATATAAGTCCATATCCTCACTATAATTATCACTATCACTGACTTGGGCCGGCTGTGGTGGGTGGCGGGTGAAGAACTCGGTAATGTTTTGATGACTGGGCGACCTTGTGCGCACCCTGCTCGCGCCGCTCTCCGCGTAAAGGGGTACACGCACCGCGGAATGTGAGCATTCCGGTTTCGGCAGGGTACCGCGTAAACGTGGAAACGCGGAATGTGGGACCGCGTAAAGCAGGGGTTGACTGTATAAGGCAACACACTCTTTAATAATATGTAAGGCAACACACTCTTTAATAATATGTAAGGCAACACACTCTTTAATAATATATAAGGCAACACACTCTTTAATAATATGTAAGGCAACACATTCTTTAATATAATATATAAGGCAACACACTCTTTAATAATATGTAAGGCAACACACTCTTTAATAATATGTAAGGCAACACACTCTTTAATAATATGTATGGCAACACATTCTTTAATATAATATATAAGGCAACACACTCTTTAATAATATATAAGGCAACACACTCTTTAATAATATGTAAGGCAACACATTCTTTAATATAATATATAAGGCAACACACTCTTTAATAATATGTAAGGCAACACACTCTTTTATAATATGTAAGGCAACTCACTCTTTAATAATATGTAAGGCAACACATTCTTTAATATAATATATAAGGCAACACACTCTTTTATAATATGTAAGGCAACACACTCTTTAATAATATGTAAGGCAACACACTCTTTAATATAATATATAAGGCAACACATTCTTTAAGATAATATGTAAGGCAACACACTCTTTAATAATATGTAAGGCAACACACTCTTTAATAATATGTAAGGCAACACACTCTTTAATAATATGTATGGCAACACATTCTTTAATATAATATGTAAGGCAACACACTCTTTAATAATATATAAGGCAACACACTCTTTAATAATATATAAGGCAACACACTCTTTAATAATATGTAAGGCAACACACTCTTTAATAATATATAAGGCAACACACTCTTTAATAATATGTAAGGCAACACACTCTTTAATAATATGTAAGGCAACACACTCTTTAATAATATATAAGGCAACACACTCTTTAATAATATATATAAGTATTATTATTCAATGTTTATGACATCCTATTCTTAAATTAGGTCTCTCACAGTCTACACTGTTTGTAAATGTATATAGTAGTTTTATAAATATGACGTGTGTAATACAACCCTTATTCTAACTTACTTTCAGTCAAGCTTTGACTCTGGGTAATGTTGTTGATAGACTGAAGTATCGATATGATCGAGAAATTGACGATGCAGTGCGCCCCATACTAAGAAAAATAACAGAACATGATGATATTCCTCAGAAAACCATGATCCTGTGTGTGGCAGATATTACGGTAAGAGTTCTTATTGTAGTAGTAATAGTATACTGTATTACTATACGTGAAGGACTGGAGTGTTGTATTAACTGATGTTTGGGGATGTGATGCTGAAGGCTTGTATGAAATGATGAGTAAATCAGATACTGTACAGTAAACCTTCATTGATCTCCTTGGTCTTCATTTGTGTCAGGTCCCCTCACAGAGAGGTGGTTGAGTCAGCTAAAATTTAGGTGCCAGTTCTCTCTCTCTCTCTCTCTCTCTCTCTCTCTCTCTCTCTCTCTCTCTCTCTCTCTCTCTCTCTCTCTCTCTCTCTCTCTCTCTCTCTCTCTCTCTCTCTCTCTCTCTCTCTCTCTCTCTCTCTCTCTCTCTCTCTCTCTCTCTCTCTCTCTCTCTCTCTCTCTCTCTCTCTCTCTCTCTCTCTCTCTCTCTCTCTCTCTCTCTCTCTCTCTCTCTCTCTCTCTCTCTCTCTCTCTCTCTCTCTCTACTCTCATCTCTCTCTCTCTCTCTCTCTCTCTCTCTCTCTCTCTCTCTCTCTCCTCTCTCTCTCTCTCTCTCTCTCTCTCTCTCTCTCTCTCTCTCTCTCTCTCTCTCTCTCTCTCTCTCTCTCTCTCTCTCTCTCTCTCTCTCTCTCTCTCTCTCTCTCTCTCTCTCTCTCTCTCTCTCTCTCTCTCTCTCTCTCTCTCTCTCTCTCTCTCTCTCTCTCTCTCTCTCTCTCTCTCTCTCTCTCTCTCTCTCTCTCTCTCTCTCTCTCTCTCTCTCTCTCTCTCTCTCTCTCTCTCTCTCTCTCTCTCTCTCTCTCTCTCTCTCTCTCTCTCTCTCTCTCTCTCTCTCTCTCTCTCTCTCTCTCTCTCTCTCTCTCTCTCCCTCTCTCTCTCTCTCTCTCTCTCTCTCTCTCTCTCTCTCTCTCTCTCTCTCTCTCTCTCTCTCTCTCTCTCTCTCTCTCTCTCTCTCTCTCTCTCTCTCTCTCTCTCTCTCTCTCTCTCTCTCTCTCTCTCTCTCTCTCTCTCTCTCTCTCTCTCTCTCTCTCTCTCTCTCTCTCTCTCTCTCTCTCTCTCTCTCTCTCTCTCTCTCTCTCTCTCTCTCTCTCTCTCTCTCTCTCTCTCTCTCTCTCTCTCTCTCTCTCTCTCTCTCTCTCTCTCTCTCTCTCTCTCTCTCTCTCTCTCTCTCTCTCTCTCTCTCTCTCTCTCTCTCTCTCTCTCTCTCTCTCTCTCTCTCTCTCTCTCTCTCTCTCTCTCTCTCTCTCTCTCTCTCTCTCTCTCTCTCTCTCTCTCTCTCTCTCTCTCTCTCTCTCTCTCTCTCTCTCTCTCTCTCTCTCTCTCTCTCTCTCTCTCTCTCTCTCTCTCTCTCTCTCTCTCTCTCTCTCTCTCTCTCTCTCTCTCTCTCTCTCTCTCTCTCTCTCTCTCTCTCTCTCTCTCTCTCTCTCTCTCTCTCTCTCTCTCTCTCTCTCTCTCTCTCTCTCTCTCTCTCTCTCTCTCTCTCTCTCTCTCTCTCTCTCTCCTCTCTCTCTCTCTCTCTCTCTCTCTCTCTCTCTCTCTCTCTCTCTCCTCTCTCTCTCTCTCTCTCTCTCTCTCTCTCTCTCTCTCTCTCTCTCTCTCTCTCTCTCTCTCTCTCTCTCTCTCTCCCTCTCTCTCTCTCTCTCTCTCTCCCTCTCTCTCTCCTCCTCTCTCTCTCTCTCTCTCTGAACTAATTTTATAACCTAAGTTTCCAGTCATGAGGTAAAATTGCATTAGTAATTCTGGCCATTGATGTGCCTGAGAACTAACCTATTTATCCCCTTACAGTACAGCTCCTTCGGCCAGGGGTTAGGGACCCAAATCCAGGTAAACAAGTCAAAATGCTAAATAATACATAGAAAATCTAAAATGGGTGTCTCTTTTCTTCTCAGCACCACAAAACTCACTTTTAAGCTTGCCAGCCATTTTAAAGTGAATTACAAACAAAATTTGTCAGTACACAGCAATCACTGGCGTTGGGACTCGAAAATACATAATTTGACAAAATTTTGAGTCGACTGAGGCAGATTTGAGTCTGGAATTAATTAAATGAAATCGAGTAAGTTGTAAGTCGGGGAGGAGCTGTAGTTTGTATACAGTATATGCATATTTTATATTTAATTTTTACACACACCCCTTGGGAGTAACTCCTCACTTATTGACAAGGGTCTATTGTAGATATTTATGGTGGTACAGTATTGTTGTGGAAGGAGAGTATCATGGTAAAGTGTTTAGTTACAGTTGCCTGGTCTGTTGCCATGTAGCAGGTTCCTATAGTGTGTTTTTTGCCAGCTGAGAAGATACTCCGCCCCTCCTCAAGAGTTACAAATTCACGCTTTCGGAGGACACACCGTATATGGTGGCCGGTAATTTGATTCCCGGTAATTTGACTCCTGGTAATTTATCTCCCAGTCACTTTCACTCCTGGTAATTTCACCAACATTTAAAACATTGCGTTTTATTTATAAAGACAATTATTAATGATGCAGGTTATGAGCTATTACTCATAAAAAGTCAAAGTTGTTCTCTGAATTTATTAAAATGTTAGAAGTCACTACAATTAATAACACAGGTTATTTATACAAACATTTAAACATGATGCAGGTTAAGATCTATTGTTCTCTGTATTAAAAATATCTATTAAAACATTTATTAAAACATTTATAAAAACTTTGGAATCTAACAATTTTAGTACCATAATCAAATTAGTACATGTGCACTCCAGCGTTGCACTAAAGTCATTTACAGTACAGTCAACCCTCACTTTACGCGGTTAATGTAACCTCCAGGGTACCGCGGAAAGTGAGAAACGCGTAAAGTGAATAACATAACATTTGGGATTAAATGAAATAGAGGAATAGCTGACCCCAAACTCCACTTTTTCCAACCACAATACCTATGTTCTAGTAAAAATAACTTATCTTAATTTTATGATACATTTTACACAATTAATACTTAAGAAATAGAAATACAGTCGCCAAGCTAATGTCCATTCAAATAATGGACTCAACTCCCTCCTCTTCTCACACTACACTGGCTAGCTCTTCCACTCTGAGAAATTTTGGAAAACCAGGTTACAGTGAGTTCTGCTATAACGCTGTTTTGACAACGAATTTGATCGAACGATTTATGAATTGGAACGATATTTAAAAAACGCGAACTCGTTTGCTCTAACGCGATTCCACTCCGGTTTGGTGATTCAGTTCACGTTCGACATCACATGTTCAATTGAGTTATGTGTTTTGTTTGTGAACAATTGCAGAAATAATGTATGTAATATTTATGTATACAGTATACCTATATATTATAAGTAAATTGTAAAATTTTACATAAAAGAGAAATCAAATTACATAGCTTTTAACCGCTCTCTTTACATCACACACAGTGTTTACAGTTCGTTCGACATCACATATTGATTTATGTGTTTTGTTTGTGAAGAATTGCAGAAATAATTTATGTAATATTTATGTATAGTAAACCACTCACAAGGTCCTACAGTACCACTAATTATTTTATACTGAAACTTACGTTTGGGAAGCTGGATTAAAATGAAGATTACGTATATTAAAATAATAAAAATGTATTATAAACCAGTCTAACATACCGTAATAAACACAGCTGCTATTATCATCACCCCCACCCCATTTGCCAGTGACAAGAAAGGGAAAGTTGACTGTGACCGCCTGTTTATTTTTAGCCGAAAGGTGGTCAGTAATGCATATCTGTATATTTACTGATCAATATATTTATCCCCTATAAATAATTCATTTAAAATTTATTTTTTTGCAAAGAATATTCAGTAAATGACTGCATTAATTCTTGAAACTACCTACAGTGGTAAATTTAGGATATAAATAATGAACAGAAGTCACGTCATGGATTCGGAGTTTGGTCCTTAACGATCACCATAAATGTAGCCTCCCTTTGTCGCGAAACACGTATATAAATTAAAGAAAATACTTGCAGTATATTTAATATATTACAGTATATTATATATATAAATAAATAAACAAATAAATTCAAATTCCCTTATCATCCTGTGTCATATACAGAAATACTTGAGTCCCTGAGCGAGTACACAAAAAGAAAACGGACATCCTGGAGTGGATAGAGAACGGACATCTCTACTGGGGGACTCAAACGTTTCTCATGTTTTGTGGGCGCTCTAGCATAATATGAATAATATGTAAATTACAATTTACTTATACAGGTATATATATATATGTAAATTGTAAAAATTTAAATAAAAGAAAAACTAAATACGTAGCATTTAAAGTGTACTGTACAGTATGTACAGTGCTGTGGCTTGGCGCGGGGTTATGCAGTGTTTACAGTTCACGTTTGACATCACATGTTCAATTGATTTATGTGTTTTGTTTGTGAACAATTGCAGAAATAATTTATGTAATATTTATGTATACAGTATACCTGTACAGTATATGTAAAATGTAAAATTTTAACTAAGAGAGAAAAACAAAATTCGTAGTGTTTTAGACCTGCGCTCTCTTTACTCCACACGTTCACTTTGCTAGACGTGAGAAATTTTTAAGCGTCCTCAGTGCTTTCTGATTTACTGTTTCCCCAATTTTGTGACTATGGAAAAGAAGAATATCTCCGGGAAGCATTCTGGTGATCGCATTTCTGGTGGTGATCGTAAAAGAAAGGCTATAACACTTGAAGGCAAGCTTGATGTTGTCAAGCGTTTTGAAAATAAGGAAAGAACATGTGATATTGTGCGTGCAACGGGAATAAAGGAGTCTACTTTGCGCACCATTAGAGCCAATGCAGCAAAGATTAAAGCAAGCTGTGTTGCTGGAAAAACCAAGAGAGCTAGCAAAAGTGTAAGATCACGGCCAAAGGAACTTGAGGAGATGGAATGGCTTCTAAGTGTTTGGATAGAAGATCAAACGAAAAAGCGATCTGGGACCAACTTCCTCACCATTAAAGAGAAAGCCTTGTCAATATATGAGGACCTAAAGAAAAAAGCTGAAAATCCTGATGATGTGGTTGCCTTTAGTGCAA